CTCTTTTCCCTTCTATCTGACCCTAGCCTAATATGGTCTCATCAGGGCTGGCTGCAGCATCTTTCTTTGTGGCCTGGCAAGGCTGTACCCTCCAGGGGGAGGTGATCAGAGAGTCTGCCACTGAGTTCATGGCAGAGACAGTCTCTGCTCCCCTTACTAGGGAACCCACTTGGAAACTGAGTAACCTATGGGTTTCAGCTGAGCAGGGGTTCTTGGTCCTCTCCATGCATCATCCTTGGTTGGAGTATTGGTCTCTTCAGGGCCCTGGGGCCCAGGATTTGACTCTGTTAGTCTCCTTGTGGAGCGCCTGTTCCCTCTAGATCTTTCTATCTCCCCCTTCTTCTGTAAGGTTTCATGCACTCTGCCCAAAGTTTGGGTATGAGTCTCGGCATCTCCTGATGGGTAGAGCCAAAACCATACAATGGAAAAAAGATAGCATCTTCAGCAAATGGTGCTGGTCTACGTGGATGTTTACATGTAGAAAAATGCAAATCGATCCATATTTATCACCCTGCACTAACGTAAAGTTCAAGTGGATCAAAGACCTCAACATAAAACCAGACACACTAAACCTGTTAGAAGAAAAAGTGGGAAAGAGCCTTGACCTCATTGGCACAGAAGAGACAGAATTCTAAGACAGAATGCCAATGCCACAGGCTCTAAGATCAACCATCAATAAATGGGACCTCATGAAACTGAAAAGCTTCTGTAAAGTAAAGGACACTGTCAACAGAACAAAATGACAACCTACAGATTGGGGAAAAGATCTTCACCAACCCTACATGTGACATGGCTAATATCCAGAATACATAGAGTACTCAAGTTAATCACCAGCAATATTTATTGATATTGGCATTATATTAAATATAACTTGGGTTGGCATAAAATCTTTGGATTATATTTTCTTTCCTTGAATATATATATATAACGAAGTCTTTATCCACTAATTCTGATCTTACATACTACCAACAGAAAATCCAAAGCCACCCTCAGTTTTTAATTTATGTAAACAATGAAATCCATTTTGACTCATGGTTTCAAAGAAAATTTTAATATAATATTTATTAATAAACAGTAATTATCTATTTAATCATTCTAATTAGAATATAAAAATTTCGCCAGTTTATTATCTGTTATTAAAATGTTAAAAATTAATTTAAGTAAATTTACAATATATATTATAACCTGTTTTCCCAGACAGTAAATGCAATACAAGATATCACTAAAACTATCTCTGTTGTCTAATAAAAAAATTTCTCCCTCTCATCAAAATCTCTCCTTTTCCTGTCTCTTAAAGTCAGTTTTGCATAATAAAAAGCTAAAAAATACCCTACAATAGATCCTAACCACACATAGCCCAGGCATGTATCAGAAAGATGTTTCAGTATTCACTGGCTCCATTTTCATTGGTATATGGTATACACTTTCAACAAATTGAACATATTCTTTTTGTTTATAAGTTCTTCTTCTTCTTCATTAAATTTCTCAATATCTGTTCTGTTCCTTTTTCAGGGATCTCAATTACGCATTTGCAAGTTCTGTGTTACCTTGTTCATGTATATATCATTTTCCCCAGTATTTTTTACCTTCCACTTTTATATTATTTTTTGGCATCACCTTATTTATATGTTCTGTCCTTGTCTATGTTTGCATAAGAGTCTATATTTGCGTGGCTTCTTCTGTTTCTTTTTATATTTCTGGGATGGTTTAGATTTTGCTTCTCTTCTTCATGATTCTGACAATTGGTGCTCCATTTTCTTGCACTGTCTAATCAACACATTTTGAGTTCTAGCATTTATGATTCATGGTCTTCCTTCATAGAAATAAGAGCTTTATTAAAATTTTAAACTTTAGGCACAGCTTTATATCTGTCATCAGCAACATTTTTCTTGTAAGTGCTTTATCTGTTGACAAATTTGTGTTATTTTCTTTCAGTGGTATTTTTTTACAACAATTACCTTCCAGTTTCCTTCTATTATTTGTCTCCCTAGACTAGGTTATATGTACAAATTCCTTGAATGTGTGAATGCAGTCAGGCATGTGCGTGCGCATGTGCATGCATGTGTTCTTGTGGGCATGATTAAATGTGGAGGATGTGTGTATGCTGAACGTGTATGCATAGACATTCTGAGAAGTCTTTCATTGTTTCTAGAACTCAACAGATATGGCCATTTACTTTAAACTTCGATCCTTAAACACAATTACATACATAAAATAGCAATTTATCTTGGTCTCATGGAAGATTCTCTCCACAGCTCATGACCCCAAGGAGTCCCTCCGCCATTCTGAGGGGCTTGGTTGCTCTTGCACATCTTCAGAGAACCAGAACACCTGAGTAAGGCACACTTTGTTGCCAAGAGCTCCAAACTCTTAGAAAAAAAAGATGTATTCAGTGACTGTGAAAGTCTGCCCACATGTCAGAACTCAAAAATATAGTGGAAGTATTCTTCAATACAGAATTATAAGAAAAAGTAAAATCTGATGTGCCACACACAGGTTGTAAATAGTACTTTTTCAAGAAATGCTTGAAACATATTTAAAGGAAGAAGTGACTATTTTAACTTTCCCACCGGATTGGCATACTCAATGACAATGAAATCCATTTTGTGTTAAATGGGCCTGAATTTAATCCTGCATCTAAACATAAGATTGAAAAATTACTGATCTGTACCTTTATTTAAATGATGCAGAAAATAATGGCAGTATTGGCAAAGCATCTGACTTATACATTTTAATAAGTGCCAATTTCCTATATTCTCTCCATTAGCACATTTACGGAATACACTTATTTATCAAAGAAATTAAACTTTCAAGAAAAAGGTGATAGAGGGAGTTTATTGTTCTACCACTGGACATATTTATCATAGATATGGAATATATCATAAACACCATGGAAGACCGTGAATAATAAATAGAAGTAGAAAAATTTATGGAAAATTGTATTGAGATAATGGGAGAAAGTGGACTGTCAATTGGAAAAAATATAGTGATATAAAAAAGGCTGTGTGCTATTTTCCATGATGTCCAAATGACTTTACTTCAGGAGCACGAGGATATGAAAATCTTTGTCACCATGTTGCAGATATAGCAAATTTGGGCCAGTTAAAACTAACGCTGGAAATTCTAAACACTGGAAATTTCAAAGTACTGGACGATACTTCAAGAACACGAGGATATGAGGATCTTTGTCACCATGTTGCAGATATAGCAAATCTGGACCAGTTAAAACTAACGCTGGAAATTCTAAACACGGGAAGTTTCAAAGTACTGGACGGTTGAGTCGATTCACTAAGGCACTGAATTGCTGTGACCTCCCGAAAGCTGGTACTTAGAAAAAGTGCTGAGGATTTTACATTATCCTGATGCTGGATGATTTCTTTTATTATTTTTATAAAATTGTGTATTTATTCACTTTACATCCTGATTGTAGGTCCCTCCTTCCTCTCCTCCCAGTTCATCCTTCCTCCTTCTTTCCCTTATGCCCCCTCTGCTGCTCAGAAGAGACCCCACCCCTGCTACCAACCCACTCCTGCAGATCACATTGCATCAAGATTGAATTCATACTCTTCACCTGTGGCCAGAGAGGCAGCCTGCTAGAGGAAAATGATCAGAAAGAAGGCACCGAAGTCCGTGCCAGAGACAGCCCCTCCTCCACTCACTAGGGCACCCACATGAAACCTGAGATGCCCATGGGCTACATCTCTGTAGGGTCCCATGGGCACATGTTCCTTGGTTGATGGTTCAGTCTGAGCAAGCCTCCCCACTCCTCCAGGGCCTGGGGCCTGGTTGGCTCTGTTGGTCTTCCTGTGGACCTCTTGATGCTGGATAATGTCTTATGCCACATTTTCATACTATTCATTGTTTGGCTTCAGGCCAACATGTTTCTATTATGAAATTAGGAAAGCACACTTCTTGGATGTACAATCTGTTCACTTTGGGGTGACAGGAAGGCAAACCCTTAAGGTAGAGGCAGACTCCAGCGGAACCTCACACAGAGGATGCCCGTATGTATTAGTTTTCCCCTTCTTCTGGTCTTACTTGCCTTACCCTACAATGCACGTAAGACGGATACCAGGTAGTCTGAGCCATATATTAAAAAAGCCCAAGTTCTTAATACTTCTATTTAAAGCACGAACAAATGAGTCATCTAAAAACAAAGGTTTTAAGTCTTATTTTTATTCTCCGTAGGAATGATTCCCGTGTTAAGACATGGAGAGCGTGATGCTGTCGGAACTCGCAGAGCTTCAGTAAGTTTACTAGCTACTGACATAAAGCACACCTGTTAGAAACGGCACACAAACAAACAGTCAATTCTGTGCACCAGTGCGCTCTGCAATAGAACTAATAAAGAGATTTCATCTTTGTAATCCTCTCCAGGAGGTTTTCCTCTGTGGATTTACTTTGATGGCCATACAATTCTTATTGGGTTTCTAGGGCATCTGAAATCTTATCCATTGCTCATTTATATGCAATTAAAGTAACAAAAAGCAACACAAACTATTTTGTATCTTTTGGTTACTCACTGTTTTTTTATAACGTAAAAATAAAATCTCTATTTAATGTTAAATGTACATGGCCATTTTTTTTTATACAGGGGTATGGATGGGACTAATGTAATAGGTTAATGGGATAATTTTTGGTCATGAGTAAATGTTTATTAGCTTAATCTACACTATGACAACAATGTAAATGGTTTTAAACTGACTTTTTAAAAATGTCTCAGATTGAAGGTAATTTATATACTATGTTAAGAACTTGATCCAATGATCAAGTTATAGGAAACTAAATTAACTTCACAATGAATAAAAGATTAATCACAAAGTTTGCTTGTCAATGTAATTTTTTTGAAGACAAGGACAACAGCACAAGAAAAATCATCCATAAAATAAGTAAATGTATTTACTCCTATTTTCATCTGGACTTTAAGAAGCAAGGTATCAAATCCAACAATGGGAAATGCATTATACTGACTTATCTTCTTTTTAACAAAAGCTTCCCCAATGCTCAGTTTGGCACCATATGCACTAAAATGGGAGTGACACAGAGAAGACTAGCATGACTGTTGTGCAAAGGTGACACACAGATTCATAAAGTATCCATGCTTGTACATACCTCAGAAAACCAAAAAGCCACAAAGAATTTTGGGAAGTGACAAAATGTTTATTAAGTTGACCGTGGTGAGTAATTCATCAAAGAGGATCTTATTTGGAATTCAGATTATTGTATAGGTCCTTAGTTAAGATGAGTTTAAACTGAATATGCAGTGGACCAACCCAATCTCACCACATCCTTACTGAAAGAGAAAATATGGATACAGATACACACAGTTAGACTGTCAGGTGTAATAGAAAAGGGCTAGAGCGATATGTTTGTGATTCAAAGACTGCCGAAACATTGCCAGGAAACACAGGAGGAGGAATGGTACAGATTATCTCAGGAGAAATGACCTAGAGAAGACACTGGTCTTGGCCTTGTCATCCTCAGAATTTTGATACAATCAGTTTCTGTTTAAGCTAAGCAACTGATAGAATTCTGTTTCGAAAAACTAATAAAACTATCCACAGCAGACTTTAAACATACCTGGTCTTTTAGTTCAAATTTCAATGTTCTGTTGGGGCATACTGAAAAATGAAGTGCTGTTCCTTGAAGTTTTTACATCACAGAACTGAGAGTTCACACAGTGCATGTTCTTGGGTAACTTAAAAAACTCCCAAGAACCACAAAAGTTAATAGTGTGAGTTAAAATGAACCATTGAGTGTCATATATTGGTTTTAAAAATTTATATTTGTGCTGGTTAGTTCTTAGGCAAGAAAATATCCTCCTAAATACTATGCCATAGTTGTAAAAGGAATGACCAAACTTGAAGAGTCATAAAAACTAAAAATATTACTAAATTACTTGTCAATGTTTTTCATGAAAATGTTCAGGAATAACTAGTTCTACATTTTATCTACTTAAAATTATTCTCACATTTAATTAGTTGAAACCCAAATGAAGGGAAAAAATGGCTCTGGCTGGGAAAAACCAAACCAAACCAAACCAAACCAAACCGATGTATCCATTGTTTTTGATGGAGCAGGAACACTCACCACAGCTGGGATTATTCTTGGATGACTCTTCTCATCTTCTTCCAAATATCAAATTTCTCATTTTTGTGTAAGGAGCTCTTTCCTAGTCACATCTGCCATTTAAATTTCTAATTTCATCAGGCGATGACTTACTAATAGAAGTAGCTTTGTTTCTTCCTATTGTCCTTGCAGTACTCACACAGTATCTTATGAATCTTCACCTATTAGAAATACCAGTTGACACCAAGGTTGTCACATAATATATATTCAATACAAAATTTAAGAAGGTAACCCTGCATTTAACTTTTTATCTTTTTCAAGTTCAGCCTAGTTCATGAGGCAAATCTCCCTGAACAATGTCTCATCTAACTTTTCCCAATATAGCACTGCCCCCTCCTACAGAACGTGCACAAGGTTTTCTCTAGTATCGCATCTACGATTTTAAACCAAGCCTGTCCTTCTGGCAAAATCCGTCAATGTGCGGTTTGCTTATCCATGAACAATCCCGACTTCTGCTTCTCCTGACGGGAGAAGTTATTGTTGCTGTAAACTTCTCATCCCCAGGTCCAGGATTTCATTTCAGCTACCCTGTAAGTAGTACTGACCTCTCTTTCCGTGTTAGCACAACTATTAAGCTCACACAAATTCATATTGGCCTGCAAGGAGATTGTGCACGAGTGAATATTTCAATTCTTCCTTCAAGGCGAGGGTTGTTTTGACTTTGACCAATTGTTCATTGAATCCACACCTAGAAGCAAGTTGTTATACTGGCGCTTTGAGAACACAGAGGTTCCAGATCTCCTTAGCATCCTGTAGGCTTAGAGTTTTCAAACACCTACTTTAATATTTAATGCTCTTAAACTCCTTCACCTCCCTTTCAACCCCCGACCTTAGATCCTTAGATAGGAGATTAGTAAGGAAAGGAAAGGGGCTACAGGCCTTTTTTTTTTTTTTTAAATCTACTAATCTACTTCCTATTGATAAGAGGAGATGGGTTCTTTGGGAATTACCAAACTCAATTGTCAGGATACCAGCAGGCTAGCAAAGCAACAGCAGCAACATGGGTTAGCAGAAGCTGAATCAGTAGAAGAGGCTAGACTCCGCCCAAATGGCACAAGTCTTCTGAAGCCGCAAAATTCCGCCAAAGCACCGTGAGCAGTTCTCTGGGGTTCTTCTTTCAGTGGAGACCAGCTAAGGATACACACCAGCCACAACAAAGCCAAAGTAGGGAGAAGCACAAAGCCTTGTCTCACTGTCTGTGGGCGTCTACTTAATCCTTCTCAAAGTCCACGGGAGGATGTTTTGCAGCTCACAAAAACCACGCCCCTCACACGAGATAGCTTTCAGCTGACCACATCATGTGCCTTCTCATGGGGGCTGTTTTTCCCAGGTGAAAAACGTTCCCACGTCAAACACTTGCGACCCAAACAAAACTCACATTCACATGACACAGCTAAGTTCACAAAAGAAACCAGAAACTTCCACTTCACACCCTGGTAAAGGGTGTTCATATTCTCTGCAAATAGTGGCATTTCTTTTTTTCCGTGGTCACAATCCCACTAATTACTTTTATTTCTCAAACAAACTTCAGGGATATGCCAGGAAAAAGGCAATCCAAGATGGCCATATATCTTTGAAATGGACTTGGTAACATGTTATTATGAAACTAGTTAACATTGCTTCCAGGAGATTTCTTCTGTAGTTAGAGGAAATTGATGAAGTCCCCTAGACCAGAGTTTGGTGAGTCAAAACTTGCTGTGCTGCAAGATTCTGATGTGGTTTTCCTACCTCAGCTTCTGCTCTTAACCAGACAAGAAATTTTTCTTGTCAGCTTTCTGTGAAGTACATGGGCCACAGCATGCACAGGACATGGTTGTTTCACTAATTCATTTTACATCATATTCACCTGTGATTATTTTTTCATTCAACCTTAAACTCAACAGTCCTCATATCCTTGTGTTAATTTCAGAAGTTTTTCAAACCTTTTTATTTTTATTTTGTCCTAGTAAAATTTAAATACCATTTAACTTTATAAAGAATGTGCTTTAAAATATTTGCTGTTTGGAATAGTGACTAACTTACTATCTTTCCATCTACTCTATCTTATAGAAAAACCAATGGCATATTGAGACAGTAAGGTCTGGTGCCATCGTTAACCACACTGCATATAATTCTTTACAACCAACTCTGTTAAATTCGTTGAATACAAAGTCAACATTAAAAAAATGTTTGTTTTCTCCTTCCTTAATCCAGTGGCACCGCTCTGTTATCTTACCTTCTTTACAGCTGCTGCCCAGTGGGTCATCCTCACCTTAAGGGATTTCTGGTGTCTACAGCGTCTTTGACACAGAGTGAACAATTTCTCCTTTTCCACTTCATGGGGGCAACTGTAGCCGAGGGAACTCTACGCTAGCAGCCTCTTCTAGCTTGGGCTTCATTTTCAGGTTCCATTGCTGCACTTCCGCCAGTACAGGAGCCCCAATGGATAGAACTGTTCCCCTGATTTATATATTACTTTTTTTATATCACACGTTCTGACGTACAGTGCTGAGATAGTGTTCAGGGCTACACTCCATTTACCCCACTGATAGACTTCAGTTGAAAAGTCTAAGAAATGCAAAAGTAGTAGAGTGAAAATTACAAATATACTTTTGATCTAGAAATCCTTTTGCATATCTCTCTATATAGTGGCATACATTTTATTACTAAGACTCTCAAAATTATACCCGAGGAAAATCTAAAATTAAAAAAAAATTAGTCTTGTCTTATTTAGCAGGCTAAGTATATACCACTTATCATCATTTACACAGCATCTTCTGATGACAATAAATTATCCTTATATACTAAGAGGGGAAAATTACATGGTAAAATCTGATTTAAAACAATGCTAGTTGGTAAGTCTCTTATTCTAATACAAATATATATATTTGAAGATATAATAGTGTACTTGATAAAAATAAAAAGGAAAGTAAGATACAGCTTTATTGATGAAACAAGAAGTTTCATAGTCTAAATGACAGCTAATTAGGCGATCACATGCATTTGCTGGACATGTTTTATTTGTCTGCTTCAAAGAAAAATGTTATTTAAGCAGTTTTATATAAGTTCTGTTTTGCTTCCTTGGAACCCTTCTGTTTTAATTCCAGAAATAAGGAAAACTGCTAGAGCTTTTGAAAACTAAAATTAACATATCCCTAATACCATTTCATGTAATTATTGTGTCCAATAGTGGGAAACCATTTCATGAATGTGCATTCTGTGGCATTGTCTCTAATCCATTGTATTTATTAATTAAACTTTTAAACAGATTAAATAACTTTACTTTGCACTGGTAACTAAGTTGATAGGACCAAATAACTAGTTACGAGGTCCTTGACAGTCAGTGCTATCTCTTACCAATTTCAGTGTCTTCAACCTCAAACTACGACCTTCTGTACCATAAATGTTCCATGACTTGCATATTGAAAGCTACTTTGAAAGACAGTCTGGGGAATTACTTTATTCAGACCAAGTTTATACAGACCAAATGGCTAGTTTTTTTTTTTTTCCTTGCCATCAGAGAAACAACAGGAGACGGTAGAGAATTCATTCTGCACAGCCTCTTTTGATATTTACATTTATGTAGCTCATTACTGTTTTCAAAAGAATATTTCTATCGGATAAAAATGGTTTTATTATTCTTGAAATGTTAACAGCATAAAATGTATGTGCACAAATCAGGCTGTCCTCTTGTGTTTTAGAAAAAGATGTGCAATGCGGAGAAAGCCAACATTCAGGAGACAAGAGGATATGATGACCCTCTTCCACATCATTTATTCTGACAAATATTCAGGAAGTCTTAAGTCCTTAAAGGCTTAGGAGAGCTATTCCACACATCTGAGTAGAATTACTCGCAGCATCACTTCTCAGGCCTTGCTTCCTGCATAACATTTCCTTTGGACATAAAATATGCTATCCTTAACTTATACAGACATGTAAGTTGTTACAGTATGCTCATAATCTGTTGATTCATTCTTCTAACCAACATCCACATAAAGT